GACCAAGTGCAAAGCGTGTATGACATACTCATTAGACACGCAATACACAATAGCTTACTGGATTTTCTCTTGTCATATTTTTTGGTATGAATTAAGAATTGCCTGCACGATATGAATTAGAGAAGGTAGACTTGTTCATTGTAGGCATAGAATTGGGTTATGTTCCAAATCTTTAACAACTTTTAAGCAGTTTGCTTTATTTCTCTCATTTTCATCATCACTGATGTTAGTAATACCACTTCTGTGGTTTTTCAGTGAGTTTTTAGTAATATTGCTCGTCTCAGCCGAGAAGACGGTCCTCCCTAGGTTACAGGTCGATATTCATTTGTGTATCTAGTTTTTGGAATACCGAAGAGTGTACCTATTAGCTACTGGACTATGGTGATGTTAATCTCTCTCATCTGTTGATCGCACCCCGAAATTTTTCAAGCTTACAGTGACAAAACAGTGATCAAAAACAGGAAAACTGATACTTCTACCTGAAAGCTTTATTTGTGAGTTGCTAACCGGCTTGACGGATGATGCCATGATCTCTCTAGCCGATTTTTTCTGATGGCAATTAGTCGAGTAAAAACCAGCCGCAATCTTTACGTGGTACACATTCGGTTTCGTGTCTGCTCGTAGTTACACTTCTCGCCTGTACATAATTACATTCTGTTTGTTGGGAATGTGGTGCCTCTTCTTTTGTGACAACTGTTTCTCTGTTCTTAGTATTCTTGTACCTGCTCAATTCACATATCTGCCTGGAAGTTCTAAGTAAATTCGGATGACCAACAGCGGCGGGAAAAAACATTCGCATTGACAGTGTAAAATTAAAACGACGGAGCTGTCAGTACCAAATGACTGCTTTCTTATAGGAACAGAAAAGCACGCGTAAGAATGAAAATAAACGGCCAACTGTAGCAATCGTAATGTTACTCTAAAAATAGCTCAATATACACTACTGTGTCTTACTTGGCACACAAAACAAGTTCGATGCCATGGAACATCTAGCGCGGTGATGTAGGAGTCAGTAATGGGTTGATTGCAGCCACTGCAACGTGTGCCAAAGTTTTCTAAGTAACAGGAACTGAAACAAGGAAAGAGAAACATTGCCTACTAAGTAAAACACACCATATGAAGAAGACGCAGCTGAACAAGTTGAATTAGTAAAGTTAGTAGACGGATTGTCAAGCTGGTGATTTCAATTGTGCTTGGGAACAAATAGTAGTTATGAGCCAACGTCATTCATACGCTATGCACAGAAATGTCGCATCTGTATAGGCGGAAGTAAACATACTTTTGGAGGAGATTCAATTACGAAAGTCTAGGTTTCGGCTGGATTCGAACCAGCAACAGAAACAGCATGTCCTAAATGCCGCAAGCGCTCTACCAGCTGAGATACGAAACCAAGCCGAGAGCTCATCAATTTAACATTTGGTCTCCGGAACCCACTCAACCCACTGTGCTATGTAGAATCCGCCAACTAAACCAGGGGACTGACTGTCCATCCGTTAAATTTTAATGCTAACAGCGTGGTTCCGTAGCTCAGCTAGTAGAACGCTTGCCGTTTTGAGGCATGATGTCTCTTTCGCTGGTTTGAGCTTAGCCAGAGGCTAGCCAGTTCGCAGCTAAATCTCTTCTGGATAGACGCTTGTGGCAATTAGAATGACCCATGTGGAGAAAACAAGTTGAAGATTATATACATCCTTTGCTCGAACGTTGGACTGTGGAACCGTCTGCTAGTTCAATGGATTCAGTTCGTCAAACATGTGTTCTGTTGTTACGGTCGTTCATGCTACTGGCCTTTAAGCATTTTTAAGGTGCAGAACAAACTATGCAAGAAACTGGTTGCACATATAGACTTACGAGCAATAAATCTTGTTTTCATGTTCATGAACTGTGATGTTTCCATCGAAGCCTTGGTGACAGCTGTAGCAAAAGAAGTGGTCCGGATGCCAGGCTCGCGATAACGCCACAACACATTTCTTAATAAATAAAGCGTAAAAGCGTTGATGATGTGTCGAAAAACACATTTCTGGAAACAATTTGAACATGTTGTATGACTTCAAAAAAGAGACATAACCAGTGCAAAGAAACACGTTACATAGGCACAAAAAGAACTTAAATTGATGAACCTACGTTTGCATTTGTGAGCATAAAAATTCATCCAATGTGTTAAACTGAGCCTAGAAACAGCATCTACAAGGTGTCAGTGAGAAAAAAAAGGAAACCAAGAAGGTGAACTAGGCTGATCAGACAAGGAAAGCGAGAGGTTCATTTCTTGTTTTTCAGACAGCTAGTAGGTAAACATCGCTGAAGTACAATAAAACATGGTGTAATTTAGTTTTGTGTTGTGGCCTCAAACTTCGGTATCTAGGTGAATTGAAACCCTGCAAAATTTAAGCCACAGTTCATGAAAACTACACGCAAAACATATGTCGAATTATCAGTTCCGCTTTTGATTCCTCGACTATCACAAATTTCTTATCACGTTTAACTTGGGCTGTATATGAGGTGTTGGTTAAAGTTTATCAATGAATGTGGACATTAAAAAGTTATCTTCGGGTGCCCAGTAGACCATCTAGTTCCAATACGAATTCGTTAGAACAACGCGTGATTTGAAATGATTTCTTGTTTGGCAGGTGTTACCACCTGTATATCCTCACCGTGGATAGTTGACCGCATTTTATGGTTACCAAAGTGGTTTCAGTACCAATGATTTTATACCGTACTTTAGAAGTGTTTGTTAATTCGCAAAGCAGAAAGTTCAAAACTAATTTCCCTCCTTCCTTCGTAACTCATAAGTTTGACGTTCTGGCTTGATTAACTATTACCGCTGTTCATCTGTTTGACGAATGTCCTAGATTGTATAAATAGGTATCAGACGTGTAATACACGCAATTCCTAACAACAGCCAACATTTAAGAAATGTTAATGTGTCTGTTTTTGAGGGAGGACTATAATATCATGGCAAATCGCTCATTTCGACTGCAACATAGTGGGGGAGATAACCTTACCTCGTAAATAGCATCAAAACAGATAGGCGTCCAACATTGGTGAGTTTGAAGTAGTACTCAAACTCAAAAAGGAAATATATTATTCAGTGATCCTCGTTAATAGCTGGTTGCGATGACTATCCAGCCACCACAACACGATGAAAGACTGCCAGCCAAAATAAACGCAAATAACGCGTTCGATCTAAAAGACAGAAAGCACATTACAAGCGAATTGACACAACACCATGCAACAATTTCTATGGTTGGGTTCAGACCGGTGGACGGATCTCTTTTTACGCAGTATTCATCCGCTTGGTGTCATGAGGGTTTAATCTCCTCTTCGTTTTGTATTCGTTGCATAGATAACGGTGACTAAAGTCAGTTGCTGAGCCGTACTGTGATTAAGCTTTTCGTTTGTTTTCCATTCGATTCAACTCAACCTATCACCGAGAGAAAGAAAATCCTGTTTTCGTGATAATTATAATGCAGGTGAGCCAACACACCTGTGAATGTTCCATTAATACTAACAAGAGTTACCTAATGAAGAACAACGCCCACACATCCAAGCGATCCTCCGATAGGTATTGGCTATGCATAGATTTCACCATCTTAAATCTGTAAACAAATAACCCACCCCCCACAAAAATACATTAGGAACCCACTGGGACCGGTGTGCCGTTTGTCTAATTCACGGAACAAACCTCTACTGAGTCATGCACGTTTCTTACCTATTAAGTTGAAGCTTTAGATTAAGTTTCTATGTCAGATTAGGTCAAGTGTTAGCTTGTCAAAGCGACCGGTAGGGAGTTTTACCCAACTCGGTGATCTGATCTGCAGTCAACGCGCAAACAATTTGGATTTGGTTAAACAAACCTATCACATTGTGATTTTCTCGAAGGAATCGTGACCATCTGAATCCATCGGAAATTATTTCGTGTATGTTTATAATGAGTTTTTTTTTTTTTTCAAAGAAGTTTTACAGTGGAAATAACTGTGGCTACTAATACTGCCTTTTCTTAGAGGCATTATCCCTTTGAATTTTCATAATCAAGATTGGTACAAAAGGAAGAGGAGTATTTGGAAAATTTTATTTCTATCGTGAATTTACTTATTTGTGGTGTCAAATATCGACGGAAATTAGTTAAAGTAACCCTTGTCGAAGCAATCAATGTGGTGCCTACGTAAGTTTCCCAGATTCGTCATGTAGTTAGATGAATTTACAGTATTCGCCAAGAATAAGTTTGGTGCAACGGAAGATAAGGATAAGTGATACATAAGCAGTGCATTGATGGAAAAGCCTTCCATGAACAAAACATGGAATCTGACAGAACAAAAACGCAAATGATGAGCTCATCAAGGCAAAAATTTCGAAGACAGTTGAATTTAGGCAACAATTGCCCAAAACGATTCAATCAACTATAGATGGCGGGCAAAGAAAAAATGTTCCACATAAGGACACATGATCATCATCAGTCGTTCACACTGATGTTGAACTGTCCCATAACCATGAAGAGGAAAAAGAAAACCTTATATAGGAAGAGTGAAACGGAGAAAAGGAAGCGGACGGGAAGCGACCTAATTACTAAAAGAAATACAGTTGCGTCTATATTCAAACATACAACATCAAGGCGCCTACACCTTGCAAACAAACAACCGAGCTGTAAGTGAAAGTAAGGCGTCATCAGCAAGACAGCTTCCTTACGGCTTTCACTGCCCGCGTCATTAAGTGCACTCACTTCACAGACAACTCGGACAAACAACGACAACATTCACGCCACTGAGCTCGATTAGCCGCCATCTCATCTAAAATGTTGAACCATCGACTCCATGGGTCGAGAGTACCCCAGTTTGGGGTGACGAACCTGATCAACAGTGACCAACCTCTTCGTGAACGATTCCATCTGTCTACGCCAGGTCATCATCTGACCACCTCAAGTCAGTCAGGCAGCAGCATCGACAAAAAGTGCTCGGTGTGGCAGACGACTACCTTCGTATATGACCTACCAGGTAAATGATAAATTGGTGTTCAAGATGTGGGTGCAGCAGCTCATTTGTATCTCATGATAAAAAAAACCCGTCTCCTAACAACCTGGTTGCCTGATTGCTGGTAACAACAGATGTGTATAAGTTGACCGAAACACAGTCGTTCAGACTTTCAAACTCTCGAAATTCCCACATTTACCAGTCAAGTATCACGGCTGTAAAGCGTGGCCTCATTACTTCGATCCCTAATTGTCAGAAGTGCCTCGAGTTGAGGACGCTGTTAGCACAAAAAGTACGCACCATAACTTCATTTGCCACGCTTCTTATCATTTGAATAAGAGCTTGCGATGCATACAAAATGGTCAATAATCATGGAACTTCACTGATTGGGCTAAGACTAACATGATCATCGCGGTCTTTG